ATAATAATAAAAGTAGTAGTAGTAGTAGTAGTAGTAGTAGTAGTAGTAGTAGTAGTAGTAGTAGTAGTAATATACTATAATTTATAAATTTGATTCACCATGTCTGGTATTTTTGAATAATATGATGTCAAGTCAATTCTGATTAATAGGAACCCTTTCCAGTATTTTCCAGGTATAAATACTGAGAAGTAGTTTACCCTTCCCTTTTTCTGGGGCCACCCTAAGACTGTGGAGCTTGTTCAAGGCCACCAAGCTGGCTCTTCTCCCAACTTCCTTCCAAAGCCAGGTACCTAACTCATTTAGCTATCCAGGCAACACATTTAAACACCACTAAACACTGCCATTATATAAGTACCTTGCAATGCTAAACTGAAAAGCCAAGGGAAAGGATAAATTTCCATTGCTTTCAAAGGAAGGAAGCTCCATTAGAAAATGTCAAGGTGACATATGAGGACTTCTATATTTGGCCTGCCAAGCTGGGACATGAAACACAGGTGTGCTGCATTTTCTTGGAATTCATCACTGCTGCGGAGCTGTTTATCAGTGGCACCAAATGTCAGTACCTAGGAGAGATGGAAATGGATCTAAGTAGGAGGGAAGTAAAAAAAGCTCCCCAGGTTTATGTAAGCATTATCTTAAGCCAGGCTCGGAAGCATTACTTTTTGGACTGGGGGATCCTGTGAGCTTTAGTCCAAAAAGGAACATTTTAGAGCTCCATCTTTAAGAATATACATATTTGTAAGTTTATGACCTTCAAGTGTCTATACAGCTTTGCAATGTTTCCCCACCTCTCTCTGTCTTTTTAATTTCTTGCCTGAGAAAGCAGACAGCATGCAAAATGGTTGGGCATCCTGAATCTGAGGGGGAAATCCCCAGCTTCTGTTTACTTCTTCTCCAGTGAAATGCCGAACTATTTATTTTCTTGATTTGAATTGCCCACGCAGCCCATCTGACCCCCGGGGAGATTTGAATGATGAGTTTAAAAGACTTCTCTGCCTTTACTGACTGCAGTCAGTGAACTGAGAAAATATGACTTCCAGAATCCTTTGAGAATTGAGTCTAATTCTCTCTCTCCCCCCTACTGTGCTTTCTTTTAAAAGGAAGATTGCTTGCTTGGAGAGGGGGAAAAAAAGGAAGAACAATTTCTTTATTGCTTGATCCAGAATATAATAAGCATCAAGGCTACTGACTGTCCTGTGGGAAGATGTGTGCTAAGTGTTCTCACATCATACACACACACGCACACACGCACACATACAAACACACCCTTCTCCCACAACTCTCTCTACCATTATCATCACACTTTTCCTGCCACTTTCACTGGTGTTTCAACCCCTTTTCAAAAATTAGAAAATGAAATTGTGTTGAACATATAAGACGTTATAGACATTTGAATTAATGCTGCATCAATTTATTATTTTATTGGTTTAAAAATACAGTTTACAAATTGCATTGGAGTAATTACCATTGCAAGCAGAAGCTGGCAAAAGGAGTAGGATTCACTCGCACATCATGCCCTGCTCTGCGCATCATCAGTGATGTCACACCCAGCAATGTTCCTAAAGAACTGATGTAGGCAATCACACAACCCAAAAGCAAGATGAAATATGTGTTTAAAAACAGCAGAAAAGAACTCAAGGCCTGCTGGCCAAACAAAATATACTCTCTGCTTATGCCAAAAGATCAGATCTTCTTCCAATTAGTGCTAAGATTGTGTACTCAACAGAATAAATGTTGAAAGGGACAATGAGGAACACAGCATAGACAGTGAGACAAATGCTTCTTTGCTTGGTCCCTAGACCTTAACATTAACCAGGGTGTCTTCTTTGAGGCATACAAAATCTTATAACTAGAATTTTAACCATATTTGGGAATGGATATGCAGAGATGATCAAAACAACCAATCCCTACAAAATCAAATATCATAAGAGAAGAGCAGGTGTGTGAATGTGCATGTGGATGAATGCTGAATATAATGGATATAATTTCTTATCTATTTGTATAGAGAAAAATTTATGTACATATTCTCTGTTTGTAAATGTATATATTTGACTCTATATAGTTTTTTTAAAAAAACCCTCCACAGCTGTTGTTTGCTAAAATTATCAAGACATCATGTCTAGACTGACGTTGAATTTTTACATCCAAGAATTCATTGTCCTTTCACCCTCTGTTGTCAAAGAACACAATGATCAGGTTCCTTGTGGTTGAAACAACTATTGCTAAGTGTGTATAAAAACTCATTGGGGAGCTGGTTTCATGCTGTTAAATTAAGCAGAAGTGCACACCAGGGTGTCAATTATGCTGTGATCATTCCTGCATAT